TGGCAGATGAGTGAGAGAGAAACACATATCAAAAAGAGTGGAACGTTTTCCTCTAGAATATCGATTCCATGAATTCTTTGCCAAGAATTTTTGAATTGGTGTGTAGTGTGATGACAAACTTGATTATGAAGGGGAATGAAGTGAATTTTCTCCCCCCAAATAGCGTGACGCAAATGTCGGAAATGGCTAGGCAATGGTTTTAATGCGCCAAATTAACTAACGACCAAAACTTGTTTTGTAATGACAACTGTAGTTTAAAGTCGCAGTTCGTGGTGCGAAAGTTGTCGCAAGAGTTATGGGCAGAAGTTGTCAGCCTAGCGGATCTCTTCCGATTTGGTAAGTCTACCAGGTTTAAGGTATAAGGCAGAATAAATTGGTGCTCGGTCTGAAACGGTAGTAGGGGTGCTATATAGTGAGAACATGGCAAAAAAAGTGATGTGAAACTGTCACTTCCGGCAGAAAGACTTTACAAGGGAAGGGTTCTACACGATCCAGAAAGCAATTCCGGACGAGTTTCCCGTTGGCATCGTGCCAGCCACCGGTGCTGTAGATACGGCTGCATGTATGTACTCATATAGCCATGCAACACAGCAGCCGCCCTATACCAATCACCTCGCTTCATACTGTGCTTCCGCAATGCGAACATCGTCATCAGTCGGACATTTATGGGGGGGGGGGCAGACGAGGTGGGCTTCCGGGTCAGTATACTGCAGGTTAGGGTTCTAAGGCACCTCCTTTAGAAAAGGCGCCACAAAATGCCTGCTCATGGACGCCGAAATGTGCCTTGAGGATTTATCGTGCCACTTGTCTTTGAACTACTGCGTGCTGTAAGGACATGGGCATAAATGCCATCAAGTTGAGAGGGTAAAGGGTTAAAGGGCTAAAGTTGACTGGTAACACACTCGCCCCTCGGGAAGTATAAGGTGCTTGATGGAGTCCGCTATGGTCAAGATTTCTGCCCCACACTCGGCATTCTTTTGATCAGAAAACCAGGCTGCCACCTGAGCAAAACTTTGTCACACACCTTGTTTCCTCTGCAGGCGAGCATACCATTTATGCAGCTATCACCCTTGGCGACGAAAACCGTGGAGTTGGCAACCACGAACTGAAATATGGTAATGAGAGAGTGACAACAAAGTGAGGGGACAATCCTACCTCGATTGCTTGCTCTCTGCTGAATCCACATACGGAATGGTCGAAATCGCAAAGTGCATCCATATCGTTGGCCGTATATTTCGTTACCTTTGTATCTGAATAGAATTCAAGGAGCTTCTGTACAGTAACGGCATCGACCACCACTCTTTTCGCCCCCTCCCGTCGTGGTTCTTTATGCGTCTGCTGGTATTTCACTTTTACGCGTTTTCTCGCGGCTGAAAAAGGACGCGGCGTAGGAGATGTCCTCGAAGGTAAACAGCCCATGTCATTCATCGAAAATCGTTGGAGGAAACGATGCGTGTGTGGTGGTGCTCTCGTCTTTGGTTTCTCTCCTCACTTTCCTTGTCAACCTCGAACAAAAGTTCCAAACTTGACACGTGACCTGACGACTTTCCTTTGTCACGGAAGAAAGCATGCCGTGAAACGTCACGACCATGAAACTGCAGAAAAACCCGATAGTGCTCGAGAATGTTCTTATAGTTATTACTCACGTGAAATAGTCAACTATAGAACTGAACAGTGAGCAGATAATCCCTTTGTGCAGCATAAGAGTACTGGGAAAGAGAGGAAAGTCTGGGAGAGAAGCTGGTGTTAGGATCAGGGTATATTATCGGGATAAGAAGTGACAGTATGACTTTCCCCGAACTCTTCATTACAGCCCCTTCTACGACCTATAGTTGAGGTCCTCTGAGATGTGGTAGGCGTGGCTGCGCACTTCAACTAAACGTTGCGCTGGCTATGCTTTTGGAGCACAATTGTACTCGTGTCTCAGTCAACATACATAGAACAAGAGGACAGCTGTCTCAGAATAAAATATCCCGCGAGTAGCCCATGTTCGTATGCCACGCCTACTCCGTTTCGGGGATAAAGAGTGCCTATTCTCTAACAGTCCTCATCACTGCGAACCGGTGGGCGTGCCAGTGCGGCTGCGTTTGGCGCGGTGCCAAAGTCGTTCTGCACCAGTTGTTGCGGGCAAGTGACATTACTGTATTATATCCTTCGTATTACTCGTTTTCTACCACTTTTTGTCGCATACGCGTTTCAACAAAAAGGCTGAGAACGGCTTCAACAGTGTGCACACTCATACTGGCTGACACGCCCCACCGGTCCGCAATGATGAGGACTGTACCACAATTTTTTTCTAGAAGTTTGCCCTACAGCGGGGTGAGAAATAGGTATATCCGACAAGGTGGCGCAGTTCGGCGTTCGGGGAGAGGCATTTTGCACTTTCGCTTCTTCCAATCGACAAGTCAACGTGTAGAGCCATCTAGAGAAGCATATCAAGAACTTACAAAAGCTGGCAGGTTCTACCACGCTGGCTCGACGAGCTTGCTCCAGCTCCTGCTTTACAGAAGTTCACAAGTTTCACCAGAGTGAGGTATACAAATAGGAACTAGTGGAGCAGCAAAAGTGCAAAATGCTCCCCCACCTCCCGACCAGCTTTCGGAGTAGCTTTTCCGTGAAGCCAAATAGAGGGTACATCTACAGTGCGAGTAATAAATAAGAATAAACATCGGAACAACCTGTGTATAGACCAAATACGACTCTCTAATGGGATTTGCCTAACGACGATGTACGTAAAAGTTCACTGCCAATCAAGAAAAAGGGCACAGAAGGCATTAGCCCAGACACCGGCCCAGATACGCTCACTTATACGCTGAAAGTCGTGCTCAACCCTTACCGTCAGATGGTGTGAGTGATGAGAGTAGAACGGAGGAGTTGAATGTCTTATAGGCGAAACGATTGCGGTCAGTGACGATGAAGCCAGCTTCATCTCTCCACGAATCGGATTCCTGAATAGGGTACCATCATCGGCAACGTACCGTAGCAAACGACATGGCAATATCATGGGCGAGCGGTTATCGATCCTCAAACCTGCTTCCATTCACGAACTCTTCGCCGAGTTTTTCCGAAAAGATGGTCACGCTCGGGCATTTCAGCCGAACTCGGCGAAGAGCTCGTCTTTTTGATATAATTAAACCCTAAACTATAAGAATTCAATCTCTAATAGTTCTGAGAAAACTGAATATTGAACAAGGAGTACCGAGAAGTTATTGAGTCCAATTTGTAATGTAACTTATTTATTGAAAAGAAAGGAACCCTGAAGAACAGAAGTCTGAGAGGACTCACTGCAAACGAATCATGGGTGACGTTCTTCTTGAGTTCGAGATTGAATCGGCCGAGTGCGTTTTCAGAAAGGCGGTCTATGAGATGTGCTTCTGCAGGTCGTGCTTCAGCAACTGTATGAAATTGAATGTAGAGCGGCAGAAGACGACGGTTCTCCCGTTCTTTCTGAAAAGGAGTGAGTGAAAAACATAACAAAACATAACGTGCCAACAAGTCCATTGTCAACAGAGGGAATATTCTCAAGTGGGGATAGGGGGTCGTTGGGGACAATCTACACTTTACAGAAAGCTTCCATAGTCAGTTGAGGCTCAGAACGGGTTATGGTTCGACTCGTTTCTCTTCATATCACCAAGAACACCTGCTTTCTCAAATTAACTGTAAGAGTCCTCAGAAAGGATGTCAAGATTAGGCGAGCGATCGTCAACCTAAAACGGCAGCAACTTTTCCTCTTCCAATTTTCAAAGGAATAATTCAGCGACTAGGAGTGTTTGGTGATGTTTCTCTCTTTGTGGGGCAACGTAAAACATCATGTTCTCAGCAAGTTTCACAAACCCACAATGATGCCCAAAACCTGTCCAAGACCGGTCGTCGAACGTCTATCAAGCATAACATGCGTGAATATTACCCCACTTATACATCGCTCTTCATTGTCCTTTCAGTGGGAATCCTGTTTCCTTTAGACTCAGGAAAATAGACGGAACAGTTCACGGCCATTTTGGGATTGTTCGGTACAAAAAGGTCCTTCAATTAAGCAATTAGAGACTGGCTTGACCTTACTTACCTCAATGGAAACGAGTTTCAGATGATGTGCGTCTTCTTCTTCTTTTACACGAATGTTCTTTTCGGCCACCATGTCACTGCAATCCGAGTAGATGCAGTACGCTTGCGTGGGCGTGTACTTGACAATGGTTTGTTTCGCCAAAAGGTCTCCTGCAAACGTTTCCCTAATTCTGTTCCAGTGGAAAATATCTGCTTTTACTGAGTAGTAAAGAGAACGCAGTAGAAAACAATTGCCCTGGTTGAATGATGAGAATGTGGAACCGAACACGTGCCTCCAGTCGTAAGCAGCATCAGGTGGAGGGAGGAATGGGGCAAAAAAGACACTGGCAGACACCTTCAAGCACTACGCTGTGCAGGGACGTAAGCTGCACTGAAAACAGAGAGCAAAATTTTTTGCTTTGTCTTGCCGCAAAGGGAGGAACCCCTTCATCAAGGCCTGGGCTGTCACGAGAGCCGTCCAACTCAAAAAATATTTAGAGAGTAGCGTGATTTCCAGGATCGAGCAGAACCCTGGGTACCGTCATTATGTCGTTAAGGGAACAGGAAGAGATCAACCGATCAGCTGTTCGGACTATTTAAATTACCCCGTCACTCTGAATTATGTTAGAGGTAAACCCCATGAAGGGAGAGCAGGTGCCGTTTTTGCCCTACTCCCTTTTGTTGGCCCCTTTGTGTGTGATGGTAATCAGGGCACGTCCTATATGTTGAGGATCTCCAGCGGGCAAGGGGTCGTATTTGGTCGCTGGAGGGAAGGAGGTTATATTTGGTCCGATAAAATCTTTTGATAGTTGATTTTTCTTCTTCAGGCTATATGTACATATCGTTGGGAGACAACGCGCGCGCGAAGCAGACTTGCCAATGAGCGGAAGAGTGAGGGTGTCAGGGGAGGGGGAGAAATCCTTCCCGCACCCCCTCCCTCTTCCGCTCGTTGGCAAGTTTGATAAGAACTGGAAATTCTGAGGAAATTCCGATCAAAGTGATAGAAATGTTCGAAAGCTGGCAAGAGAGGGAAGATAGTATGTAGGATGGGTGAGCACTGGGGAGGGGGTCGTGGACGAGAAGGAGGGAGGTCGTATTTTCCGAAAATTTCCCCCAGTGGCAGAATGGGCCCTGATGGTAATACTGTGTGTCAAATGCAACGTTGCTGCTCTTAATTTTTACTAAAAATGAATTCATGAGTGTCCTTCTTCTTCGCCCCTGATCAGCTACAGAATGAGAGTTGAGCGTATCATTTTAACGCCGCGCCAAAGCGGGAAAGCGCTAAGAAGTCGTGAAGATGAACGACGGGACAGCGAGAGAGAGTGATCAGAGATGATACGATCTATCCGTTGTATTGCGAATTTTCGAATAACATCAATCAGCACTGAATGTGGCAACAATGGATAAGCAACCATACCGAAATGAATCACTTACCATTCTGATCCCATATAAATGCTGATTTTGACCCGGCAAATTCCTCAGCTTTCAGATCAGTCGTCTTGCCAAGCTCCAGAAAAGCCATCTAAATAAGAATACACTTAATCGCAGTATGTGACGACTGCGAGACGCTGTGACGAGCCTTAGCTTCATACCAAATCGAGCGGCTTCGATGGGAATTGCATTCGATAGATAGACATTTTGTAGTGCGCGAGGATGGTATGAACGGCCTGGCCTGCCCGATGGCTGTAGTGAGTGTGCGGTTGTTTGTGGCGAAACCGCACACCAAAAACAGCAGACTCGTTCTGAAGGGGCAACCACTTGGTCTAACAGCATGACTGTGACCAATGCTGGCATTAATTGCACGTTCCCGACCCGGAACAGAAGCATTTATGCGACGGGCCATCATTATCCGGAAGTCTGTATCTCGAAAGAGTGAAAAGAATTACTGGAACTGTAGCATAATGGAACCGCGCGTCCATCGGAGGACTCTAATGATTCATACGACTGCCTTTCCTGGCATTAAGTGGTTTTCGCCCATTGGTTTCGCTCTTGGTTCTTGCAAATCCAAACAGGACGCTTGATGCTGGAAGTCGTTTCATGCTAGCGGATCGAGTTTCAGCGCTATTTGGTGGCAGATCGCTTACACAGGCGCTACGGGGGCTAGTGTACTATGGGTCCTTAGTCCCCCACTTTGAGAAGGATAAAGTCTTCGCCTGTTTATCAATCCCTTTGTGGGATGCGGCACGCATTCTACTTCCATTCAGAATCGTAGTGGCTTATTGAATGCGATGTGGCCTATACAATGACTTGCGGTGGCCAGCCGATGTACAAGTCACCCATCTTATCCTCCCAGATCTGGTACCAACTTACCAACTTTTTGGGGAGTAAGAGGCTTGGTTGGCCTGGCTGGGAGTCGAGCCGTGATTTGGACTGTGGCATACGCGCCACTAGTCACTACACCACCTCAACCTCTTCCACACGCTACATGCCGGGAGATCCCATGACGTCATGTTAAGTTAGCGACGAAAGAATCGCATTCCAGGAGTACTACCCTTTCATGTCGTTCCCTCATTTTCGCGAAGACGGTATTCAATGCTAGGGATTGACATTTTCTGTTTAATCCCTGGCCAAAGAGCTTTGGTGCAGGTGAACCGATCACATCACGCAAAAGGGATTCTCGCGCTCTGTGAAAGGTGGTTCCCCGTTCTGGTCGCTCCTCTCCCTTCCCACGCCAGCGACGGTCTGTGACGTTGATGGTACGGTCATCCCAAAAAAACTGTCCGAAGGCTATAGACATGCCTGAAAATATCGTTACCGAGGGCGGTAATGTGGGTCTGATGACGAAACGTATGTACCATTTCGCGCCAAAAAGAATAGAGGGAGGGGCGCCTATGGCTCAATATTGTTCCAGTAACGCCTCCTCGTCTCCGTCAAGTCAGCTTCAGACTGGCGCTCGCAATGCCTGCCTCCAGTGAAAGACGAATTGCAGGTCGAAAAAGCATGGAAATCGTCCTTTGTATGGTCGTACAGTACTTAAGGGGAATCAGCTGTGCGGATGAAGGCGTAGTGTAGGAGATGGATTAATTGGGGCACATTAGGTCTGATCGGAATGGGATGCTACCTAGGGCGGTTGACATGTTGTTTTTGCTTTTTTCTTCACTATCGAGTCACTCGGCACCTTTTCATCTATATGCAACCTCCTAATCCACTATCAGTGATGGCGAATGATGGCTGGCTTCGCCCTTGAAAAACACATGGCTTTATACATAACATTGAGTGTTGCCTTACATCAACGAACGAAGTGCAAAGAAGGTGAACTATATCGTCAAGTCGTCACATCTTCCAGCAAAGCTAATTTTCCGACCACCTGCTAATTTAAATAGCCTACTGACGTCATCGCGGATTTATGAAGAAAGAATGTGGCCGGAATAACAGTACTACTGCACCGTTACCAGATCTGCCAGTTGCGAGGTACAGTCTATTTGATTAATGCGAAGGATGCCAGAAGTTTTGTGGGAATCTGCTTACGCCGCTTTTTAGACGAAAGGGACGAGCATGTGCTGAGCGAGCGAACCCCTTCATTACCCAGAGGCTTTTTTCGCAGCCACGGCACAGACGTACACCATTCGAGAACCACCACCTCTCTAAAGTTGTTTGTCTTCACTGCACTAAGAAACACCATTGAAAGGAACGTTAGCTTTGAAGACGCGCATCAAGCGGCTATCACCCGGAGTCAAACATCAGGCGATGAAGCTCGTGGAGAATGGGTATTATCGTTAGGGTGGCGATATAAAGTCTAGAAATGGTGCGTCGGCATTCGCGAGTGACTTTTAGGTTCGATGGCGTGTTTACGGGCTGGACGTTCATTAGCTATAATTAGGCTTTGACAGTAACCGCACACATAGTATTATAGTGATTGATCGATTATTGTGGACAAGTTTCGGTCAGGTCCTGATTAGTTGCTTTTCTCGTATCAAGCTAACAAATGTTACGCTGATGGCTTGGCTGCAATGCTTGATTTTGATGTTAAGGATCTAGAAGAAGGACTGTTAGTACACGAAAGCTAACAAATAAAGAATTTGAGCGGTCTCTCATTTTCCGAAAGAAAGATTCACAAGTGAGGATCAGGGACAGTTCATTACAACTTAGAACATTAGATCACGTATAGACGTGCAGACTCAAGTTGGACTATGTCGCGTGATTGATTCAATGTGAGATGTCTCAAAATAGGTTTCTCGGAAAGGTTCTCGCGTACCCGGACTGTACGGTGGTTCGATATTCGGATATTTAACTACATCCAGTAAAACTTTTATTGTGCAGGACGTGTATACAATCAGAAAACTAGAAAGGTAATGTGGGACATATAGATGGAATGAGAGGAAAGAGGATCTAGCGAATCAACGGGAGGAGCGGTGGAGCGAAGGTGTGTACACGATGTGCATGGATGTTCCATGCGAATCGAACGGGCATTTACTGTACTATGCTGTGCGCGAAAGTTGAATCGGAAGCACAGAAACCACTGAGCGCCTATCAGCGCCTGCCTACTGTCCCCGAGCGAGAGCCACCAATAGCGTTTTTGCTTTCGCGTTCTGGATCAACGATGTCACCGCTCAAACCGTGAAGAAACCAAAGAGGCGTCATTCCTATGCTCAGTTCATTCCAAATTTCCGAGGTAGAACCACCCCTGCTCGCCCTACTGGGCTTTCGATCTTTGCAGTGGCTGGGCAGTCACCTGGAAACCATAAAAATCTGATCAAGGGTCGACTGCTTGATGGTAAAAACCGCAAATATATTTATGGATAGCTATTGCAATCAGAGAAAGAAAGCTATGAAGAATTCATCAGGATAAAGACCTCAAGTAAGTAGAAGTGGCAGATGGTCAACTCAATCATTAGTGAAGGATGGAGGCGTAAAAACGCGGTCAGAACTCAAGCGACCGAGGTAGCACTTTCTACGAACGACGTACGACAGCGCATGGTGGGCGATAGAGAAAAGTGAAAAAAATGCAGATGATTGCGGTCGGCAGACGGAGAGCGAAGTGACGATGAGACGCACAGCCACCCCCTCCCCTCGATGTCTCTGTCAGCCGCGCAAACGGCTATAGAGGACGCGTTCGTGTGACCTAAATCCATCTTCTGCGGTCGCAATCACAATGACCATGCACTCTACTACGCTTAAGTGAATTAAAATTTTAACTGAAACGATCAATGACCGGGGCGACAGTGGCGACAATGATGGGCACAAATCGGCGCTGGAGGATATCCCATCTCATCCGGGCCACCATTACCTCATTCCATGACCCGTTGTCATTCACGCACGACCCACTTGCTCAACGCAGGGATGATTACTTCCACGAGGTTCTCCACGAACCGGAACCAATCCTCCAAAAACACAACAATTCAACTGCAACGATCGGATTGGACGGGCATTCATAAAGAATGAAAGGGTGTCGCATTCCATGCTCGTTCTTAATCGTAATTGCTTTTGAAAAACTATCTGGCCTCATTGGACCAGCAAATGTAAAAGTCATCTTTCCAATCGCGTCTGTTACCAGTAAATCGACTAGGCGTATGAGGTGAAACGCCCAGCTTCAATGAATATGCCCCTGAGCAAGCCTTACAGAAAACTGAGGCTATGGCTCCTTTTCCAAGATGAGCGGTCTCTAAGCGTCTCAGCAAAGCTTGAACGTAAACCCACACTTTCACTAATACCGACACGCCCACAAGTGACCGCGCTGATTGGAGCTTT